TTTTTTTCCGAAACGTTGATAATCGATCAAATATTATTTAAATCAATTATATAAAATTAAATTGCACATAAAAATGATATTAGGATATATACTTAAATAGTTGGATGCACTACTCAATTGTTATAGCCAGATTTATTTAATTGAGCTAAAAAAAAATAAAGAAAAATATTACATATGTAAATCATAATATTTTTGAGCACCGGGAAACCTTTTTTTGTGATCTTCAACCACTTGTAATAGGTATTGTTTTGGGTATTCATTTTTCGTCAGTATATTGTTGTAATTTTGAATAAGGGCCACTCCTCTTTCAGCAAAATCATTGACCACTTTCATATTACGAACAATATTTGCTCTTAACTGAAAATCTTCTCTTTCTTCCCAATTGTCCGGATCTACTTCAAGAAATTCAACCAGTATATTTAATATCTTAAAAAAATCAATTGACTCTTTGTTTACAAAATCAGCTACGGTCTTCTCAGTAAAAGATGAATCAGATACATTTATTTTAATTCTATTTTGAAATGAATGTTATGAGTTTAGTGTATTCAAAGCTACCACCATTTCTCTTTTAATTTTACTCAATATATATTAGGATCAAAAAATGAAAAACATAATTCGATGCAATAACAAATACAGTAAGGCCTCAGAATAACCAGAGGGAAAACCGGTTATGTCGAGCAAAAAAAAAAAAATAACTCGATGCAATAACATATAAACGTTATCACGATAAATTATTATTTATTATCTTTTCTGTAAATTAAATTATGACAATATTGCTGTTCGAAAGTTGTTTAAACCATAAGCGAACGTGTCTTGTATAATTATACATTATCATACATTTTACTAGTTTCCCGGAGTTAAAAAAATATTATATAATTTACTACCCTTTTAGTAATTTTTCAACTCTCTCGTGACAGGTGAATGGGGTGAGCTATCGCGGCAAAATTTAACACACATTATTTTCTTATAACAAGTAACAAAATAGGGGGGTAAGAAATCAAAATTTCAAAAGTTCAAAAATAAGGACCACCCTAAAGTAAAGAAAAAGTATTTTCCAGAGGTTGCTAAATGTTTAAGTTACGGTAAGTATATTTACCTTTGATGATGTTAGGTGTGAGCAAGTTTCTAAATTATAAAATGTAAATGCGTGATGAGAGATGAGATGGTTTTCGCGGTTCGTTTAACTGTGAACCCCAAAATACAAAGTACTTGTCGTGCATATTTTATTTAAATTTCCATTGTCTTTTTATTATAAGTTTTGTATGATTAAAACTTCCAGAAAGTTTGATAATGTAAGAAACCGGAGGCCAATAACTCGCTTCAGTTTGTGTTTACTTCTTTCACGGTACCGTACTTTGTATATTTTTGCTGATATTATGTTTATATAATAATATATTTTTACCTAAGTACTTTGAACTTTCTACCTCGTGTCTCGCGAGGGGAATAACTCCTTTTTAGGTCACGAATTTAAGGAAAAAACTTTTGAAGGATTTCACACTCTCTATAATGTGTCTTGATCAGGATCTAACGTAAAATTGATCACTTGTATAATATTAATTTTAAATGGTCGTTTTACCGTCCCGATAATTCTGTAAAAACGACTGAACTCCAAAACAAGGTTGCGATATTAAATGTATCACTGTAAATAATACCTGAACATTTTAGAGAAAAGTCGGATTTAGCTATTTGTTGTTTCAATACCGATATATTTTTTTCAATATTGATATGTTTCCAGCCTGGGGGTCAGTTGAAAAATGTTCCTATACTTTTTCTAAGACCGAAAAACGGTAATAATTTTAAGTTACAACCGAAAATATTGAACCGTGCATGCCCTTCGTGGAAGGTTAAAAACATACCCATATTTCAGTGTTGACACAGTAGCAATAGTTTTTTTTAAGGGTCGGTGACATCGTTTAGTTTCCTCGTTCGAAAAGACACTGTCTAGAAAACACATACCTTAAAGTATTGGTAAAATATGATAAGTTAACTTAGGTCTTCAAAAATATTACATATTATCATACGATGTGATACTAAGAAGGTGAATTTTGTTACATACTCTGCTGTGACGTTTTATAACACAATTACACACATAACGTCAATTTGAGTCTTTTTATTTTAATTTATTTTAAGCAATAACAAATCTTTCAAACGATTTTTTTTTAGAAGATTTGAACACAGCACAATAGTTAATTTTATAATATACATTTATTAAATTATGTATATTTGAGCTTATGTATTATATATTTTTTTTTTTTGTTAGACTGCCTGCCGTTATTGAATAATAAATTAGCAATAACATCAATGATTTATTTTCTATGCACCGAATGGTACCACATTGCGATGCAGTTTGCCAAGGTCAAACCACAATATATCCATATTATTGTCATGTGGCTATTTTTCAACGTCGCGTCGGTTACTATAATATTATACACTGCATCGGCAAATACCGTTTGCATACGTCCGGCTTGCCCAACAACGCGTTTTAATATTATGTTTCCTCTCCAAAATAATAAGAACAATGACCTTCGATCGGTGCACAGGTTATTATTATGTGTAGTAGACTAATACTACTAGTAGTGGACCTCTGCCTTGGTTAGCAAACGGTGCAGTTCAGTATGGATTGCCAAGAATTTTCGCGTCGTCCGTGGACCCTCGAAGCAATCGTGGATGGTTAAACGTGGTGCAGGTGTGTACTGCAAAAGAGGTATTGTTGATATAATATTATTTTATTGAACAGAAGACTAATTTAATCAAACCGTGTCCAATATATTGCTGCGCATTCTGTGCATTTACATTAGTCATAATTATTGTACTAGATGTTACTCTCCAAATTTGCCAGCATCGCCTAACCGCTACTTCTATGGTTAGAATGGTACTAAGTGCATTTCAGGTACAGTAATTTAGACAAATTCTTTATTTTTGGTTTGGGTTTGTCATCATTAAAAATATAATTATTCAAATTATTTATATATACTTGAATCGATTATTATTATAAGTTTTTTATTGTTTACTTTTTATATTTATTATTTTTAGTGCAATTTTGATATTTTTTTAATAATTGTATTATAATAGCGCTTCGATTCGTAACTCAGAAGGTATTGATTTTACAATGATGTGTTTTTATTTTGTGAGCCCACAATATCTTCCAAACCGCTGAACTGACTCAAATAGTAAGTTTATAGACCATAATAATCGTACCTGAAAAGTACTTCATTGGTCAAATAATCAACGGTCAACAAATATCCGAAAAATATTTTTATCATGTCGTTGATTTTCGGTAACAGCACAACGAATTAGATAAGGCAAAGGATCAAACCTAGTCTTAATCGCTCTAATACTAAAAATTCAATGCTGAACACATTTTTAAACGTGTGACCTCCTCGATCCCCATATGTTCCGACCCCACTTAGCCAGCTTTTCATTCTTCTCACTTCTTATTTTTTTTTCTTCATAACTCGGATATTAATATATTTAGTATTTTTCGATTATTTGTAGAGCTTAATCTTGAACTTAGTAATAATTATTACTAAGTTATAAATAATTATTTATGTATACGGGTTTTGAAATTCTAAATTTCCAGACTTTGACCAACCAACTCTGTATTATATGTATAGCTGTTATGGAAACATTTTAAACTATAACATCTTTATTATAAATTCTTAGTTTTGCGTCGAAGGTGAAATTGAATTTCCTCGTGGAAAAAAAAGGGTCGTAACTTTTCCCCTTGACGTTCGCTGGTGAATTATTATACTGTTATTATCTTTATTTTTATTATGCATGATTCAAGTTCACTCGACCGAATCCCAACTTCCAACCCTCTTGAGATACACTTTTTTGACTCGAGATCTCTTACATATTTTATAATTATGCAATATTTTGTATTCCGACGGTACTTTTTTATTTCTATTTTTATAAAAGTAACAAAGTAAAGAACTCAAAAAGGTAACATTTTTGACGTTTACGTCTTATACTTATCTACTTATGTATTGACTTCTTTAATACGATCTGGTGATTCCTTTTTAATATTAAAGATGTTGTCTCACTTTAATGGTATGGTAACACAAACTGTCATAAAAGATTTTGCATGAGAAACTTTGTCAAGTTTTTATTACATTCAAACAACCACTAAAAATAAAAGTGTTTAATTATTTTATTTTTTAGGATAAACTACTTTCAATCATTTTGAAAATGCTAATTATGGTATTGCACTGAATAAAATTGGACAAAATATGAGTAGATTTCTTAGTAACTAGACCCTTGAATGTTTTATTCAGTTTGTTTGGTCTTATATAATACACTTAGTTATAATTTTGTGTTGCCGTAAAATATTACTCTTATAAAATATGAGTGCACCATCATTATAATATTACAATGGGTTTGTAATAAAAGCATAAAACATAACATAATGGTGTGTATAAAGCGGACGGAGGGATCTTTTTAAGTTTTTCGTTGTGAATAAACGCACAGCAGTATTATACTTGATCATTTTTTTTAATATATATATATATATATATACCCTAAGTGCGATCGGTGATATTAATGTATATGACGAGTTTGCATAATGTAGTTTTATTTGCGCAAGCTGTGTAAACATTTTGTTGACGTAGTTATTGCTTTGGCGACGGTAAAAAGCGTTTTTCAAAGGCCTTTATTCGATAAATTCGGCATCGGCAACACAGTATAGTTATGGTTTTCCTTTGAACCCCTTTTTGAAAAAAAACGTCTCATCAATTCCTGTGCAGGCACTCGCACGCTAGGTTAACTCCGCTTTATTTGTTCTTAAATTTGTCAATAAACGAGAGTAGTCTAATCGTCCGGAACGAATTTAATCGTTATAACGCACATTCGTACAATTACAGCGATTTAAATACATATAAATTTTGCCAAGTGACGGATTTTGAACACGAGTTGTTGTTCGACTTGAACTAGGGTTTTTTTTTTTTTTTGAAATAATAATATAATAAATAGTTCTGATTAAATAAATGGTTAGTATGATAATTAATTGACGAGTGCTACAGTTGCTTTTGTCCGCTAAAAGCTCGGTTGACTTAATTGAGTTCGGTTTAGTTCAGTTCACATATAAAACAATTAAAATGTGTGCCAACTAATTTGAAGGTAAATAAATATTAGGTTTTTCTAGTTACAAGACTTTTAAAGTTAATGCCGAAAGTTTGATAAAAATTTACATTTGTAGAAGTGGAGTTTGGCGTCTCTGGACTGCTCTTCTCGATTTCGCCAACAGCGCAAAAACAAATTCAATACTACAATGAGACAAAGGAGACTGTTTCATATTTTACACTCGACACCGCTCTAGACCACCGATATAATAATTATTTTTAGACGTATGTATCACCAATATAATTAATATAACAACAACAATAATAATAGATTGAACATTTTTTTTAACGCATACCAAACAGGTACTGTGAGAATAAATTCGAAGAGCATTTTTTACCGAATTGGTTTTGCACATTTTTACATATATTTTTTATTGATGTATATCTCACTACGTTGCGGTATAGATAGATGTGAAAATGTATGCGTGTTGTCAGGTTTTCAAAAAAATGTATGTGTTGTGTAAAAACGTTTTTGAAAAGAAAAAAAAACCAAGTGAAGAAACGCACGTCCGTGAGAACCGTGTTCGCGCTCATCAACGCATTCGATTACCATCCATAGCACATAATACTTCCTCTGTACCACACACTTGGCCCTCGTTATCCCTCAATATATATATATATATATATTTACTACTGTTCGTCCCTCGCAAACGCATACTAATATATAGGCAATGCTTTTTTTTTCGACGTCGTCAACCACAGATGCCGCACTACAAACGAACGACGCATTTCCATTCATGGTTATTATTATCATGTTAAGTAAAATATTTGCATAACATAATCAAACGCATAATATTCTATACGTGTCAGCATTGGTTAAGCTATAGCTATTGGCACGACTAGAGGGGGAGCTAAGAAAGTTCAAACCTTTGAAAAACACTGAAAGCCCCACCAGAACTTCAGAAAAAATTTTAAAAACCATACTCAGGGGCTGTGCCTGATTGGTTGCTGACATTTTTTTAGAGCCTGAACGAGTTTAGAATGATTTGAACTTCCCTAGCCCCCCTCCTAACATATATTTAACATGATATACAATAAGGATAATGGTTTTAAAATAATTGTTTGTCTTTTGTTTTTTTTTTTAAATTAAATCTTTAAACACAACTTTACCCATCAAACTTCATTCCTATAGGGTAACAATGATCTTTTGTAATCATTTTTTACTCACTGTGCCTAGGTATGGAAGCCACAGGAACATATTAATATAATCTCAATTCGCTGCGCAAAGAATCTGAAATATTTTCTTTTACTTTTGGCGGTGTACGTCTTATTGTCATAGATCTATGGATCGCTGATGTATGCGATTCTAGTTCGAGTCAACGTCCGTGCCTTAGTCTAGTTACTAGACTATACTATAATCGTTAGAGGTCTCTTCTTGTTTCCTCTTTATCTAGTCACGATTAGCTATCCCCCATCGCGTTCAATAGCTGGTTTGGGCACCATAGCCTTAAATACTGGATTAATATATCTTTTTTTCCCATTGATAAATATCTCGGTATCATGCTGTTAACGCGCAATCGTTTGACAGCATAACACAAAAACCGTTTGAAAGCTTACATACATATGATAATATGAAATTTTGATTATTATTGGTAGTATAATATTGTTTAAATATGTCTATTTTCATGATCTTACTTTTAATTTCTATTTTTAAATAAATAGCCTGCAAATATAATCACTACCTAAACATGTCCAATAAAAAATGTTATCAAATATATTTTTTAAATATATTACATTACAATACAATGATGTCTTGGGTCGAAATTGATTGTTCCAAAGCTATGAAAATATACTCGTACGTTATGTTAGGTTAAATTTGGTTAGTTTATGGCAAACTTAATCTAACTAAAAATTATAATTGTGTTCAAGTTTTAAAACTAAGTAAGCATATCTGTAAAAACGTTTAGCAGAGAGACTTTTATGTGATAATTTAAGTTTCAAATGTGGGGTAGTTTGAAATTATCTACAAGATCTATAAGTTGTAAATATCTTCCATAAAGTAGCTTCTGTCAACAATAAATATGCTATCGAGATTTTTATTATTATTACTTTTTTATAATATAAAAATAATGTTATTTTGCCTGCGTAACCAAACAACAATCATATTCAAACCAAGTAAGGTAAAATTAAGTGGTGATGATTCCGACGGCCATGTTCGTTGTGTCCCTTTGGTCACATTCATAGTCATGATCCATCCATGACTGATATGATATGAAAAATAAATTTTGACAAAAACGTTTACAGAAAAATTCCATTACAAAATAATGCTAATTAATAATATTATTCAACTGTTTAAAAACATACATTGAAAAAATGCTTAAACTACTTTTCATTTTTCTATAGTTTGCAGTAAACATAAATGTTTTTCCGACGCTTTTAGTTCGGTTAAGTTTTGAAAATATAGTATTAAGTATTATTTTTCGAAGAATATTTCCAATAGGTGGAACCAGATTATGACGTTATAGTGTATATTATATTATACTGTTTGCAGTTTGGTTTTAACGCAAATATAATAGAAAATAATCCATTATCGAGTACTCTCCAAAATTACTAGGGTGTGCTACAGGCAGGATGCTTTCGGCAAAGGGTTGCCACTTACACATGTTTCCAGCTACCGTCTTTCAATTCCCTATCGACCCTTCATACATAAAGTATTAGACAGGCATTCTTAGAATTCTCCAAGACCGTTGCCGCTTCTTTTTTTATTACTTATTTATATTATGTATTCGTGACGTTCCCTTCTGAACAGCATATGTATATAAAAGGGAATAGAATATATACCATACATGCATGCATGCCAGATAGTCGTGACATAACGTTTGTGTGCGAATGGCTGTCACTTTGTCAGGGGCGGCCTAAGGAGAATAGGTGTGCTAAAAGCTATGGCAGCAGGACTGAAGGCACTCGCGAGTCGTGAAAAATAAATGCGAGAAGGTAAAATACTTTGGAAATGCGACAGATATTGAGACGGTGCAAAAGTGCTTTCCATAAAAAATAAGACGTTTCCAAGAACTTTTGCCGATGGAGCTTTTTCGGTCGCAATAAAAGTATATCCGTGGAGCACATCATACTCATAGCACGTACACACCTATATATACTTCCGCACATATACTTCCGTGTGCGTGTGTAAAAATGTTATAGTATAACTTCGAATGAAAAAATAAAAAATGGAACGAATATCATCTGAAAAATGTAATCAACATAAATGTCTATATTCTATCATATTTTACAGAAATTGAAGTAACAGCTTGCAACAATTTTTTATCAACATGGATAACATGTTTTAGTAAACTAAAGAAAAACGGAAAAAACATAACCTCAAATAGTAGAGGTAGGTATAATTCGATTTTTTTTTATGAGTTATTTCCGCAAGCTCTATGTGACACAAACTTGGGTATAGAAACGTTAAAAATATTCATAAGACTTTAATGATAGTTTAAGTTTCTACAACTTGGAATTGGCTAGACGTTGTTGTCACGTTGGATGAGAATTTCAGTATTTTTAAATAGGTAGTATATTAGTCTCAGAGGTAGTGTTTCTTTACATTTTCAGAATTATAATTACTTCCACAATAATTAAACGTAGACGATCGGCAGATAATCAGTTTTGCATAATAATTGTGTCTTAAGTGAAAAATAATTTAAACTTGATTGGACGAAAGTGCATCGTGTGGAACTGAAAAATGAATATAGTTTACACAGAATTCCCTCCACTTCTCCTTTTATCTAAACTTTATAAAGGCTTTTATCTTTCAAAATAAATAATAATTATACAAAAGGAGCTCTCGGCGAGTCGTTGTACTTTCTGGGAATTTCTCATTTTTATAAAGAAATCAAATATGCTGAATGGTAGTCTGCATAACGTGCAAGTTGTAACCTCAAGAACAAAGAAACCCTGACTGTAGTTATCAAAGTACACACAAAAAACCCAAAACACGAAAATAAAACGTTTTTTTGAGTATTCAAAGAATTGCTTTGGTTACTGTGAAGATAGGCAATTTATATGTGCACGTGTAATGGTGGCAACGCCGTTGTAATTATTTGTTTTGAAGATTTCAACAGAAAAAACCCTAATTACATCAACAAATCCCATTATTGTCTACATGGTTTCGCGTTTTTAGAGTTTTGGCAAGTAATGATTTTTACAGAAACTTAAGTATCAGTGCTGTCAAGGCTATATTGATGGATTTTATTGCACTTGCCACTACGCCCTCGCCAATATATATACACAAGCGACTGTATGACTATGGACCGATTTGGACCTTATGTAAAATAAGTCTAACAGAGTCCAGAGACCGATCTATATGGTTTGATGATCACTTTCTCGAAGGCTATTTTCGTAGCCGAAGTGAGTCCTTATTTCTTATTAATTTTTCAACACTCGCTTCCGAAAATCGTTGCTGGATTCACTAGAATGACACCTTTCTGTTGCACCACACCTTTAAATATTTTATTTTCAAAAACTAAAACTATAAAGTTGCGACCGTTAAATTGATCAACCTGTACGTCTGTGGTTGAGTATATTATTATACACTTAGAGAAGTGCACAGACTCGTTTATTATCATGATTTTTTTTTTATTTACACCTATCCGCACACACATATTTATATGTTATATATTATTAAGTATTTTCAACGACTCTCCCTGGGAGTAAGTACATGTTTGTATGTGTGAATGCTTCTCACTTCGGTATGCTATTTTCAATGGAAAACATTATAAATCACATTCGTCGAACATAATGCCCTCCCCGCAATTGCCCAGGCCGTTTGTATACCGAAATCAAATATGAATTCACAAATTCTAATACTTCAACAACACCATCATATTCCGTTGAAATCATATTTTTGCAATGTCAACTTAAAAATACAAATCCATACACGCGGCTTATGACGTTTTTAAATTAACTTTTCGATTAAACTTTTCGTCGACAACAACCTATGAACGAACGCCCGTCGGTTGCATTTATGAGCGAAAAAGCAATATGAAAAATACCATATTACTTTATTATAATTCGAACTGGCGGGCGGCCGACAACCTGTCCCGTCAGAAAATTATGCAATCATTTTTACACAAGCATTGAGCATAATATAAACTATTATGTACACATGAAAATATCTTGATTTTTATTATGACTTTTAATAGCACGTCATACGTTTTCGGCCCAAAGTTAACAGTGTTCCTAAGTGTGGAACCTTGGCGAACGCTAACACTTGTCTCTATAAGAGTCAGTTGGAGTAAAAATTCGACCACATTCCAAAACTAAGAAATTATATGTAATTTAGTTATTTATGTATATAGTAAATATGTAATAAAAACTAAGATGCTTATTTCTTATTAGATGTACACTTCTTTTAACTAACCTTTTTTTGGCAAAACTCAACTATTTATTTTTTAATGCAATTTTTTTCCTATTTTTAAGTAAAATTATTTTAATAGTTAAAAAAAATAAATATAATAAGCTTTCGATTCACTGCGGAATACTTTAAGGATAGAAACAATAAATCTAAGTAGCAGCAGGAAAAAGTTTAAAATCCAAAAAAAAATGCTGATACATTAAATAAACCTTCACTGTAATAATTGCCGATAGCTATACATAATATATTGTATAAGTAATTTGATATAATTATTTTAACGGAAAATATTGAAAATTCATGTCCGGGTTCACTATGTATTTATCCTTTATGTAAGAAATGACAATTGGCTTGCCTTAAAAGTAAGCAATTTTAGTTCTAAATAATCTTCAAACGAATAACTTACAATTTTAAAAATTATTATATTAATGTTTTTTTTTTTAAATCTTATTAAGCTATCAATTACTTAAGTAAATAGTTCATATTTTTTTACATCATCAAAGCTAAACAAATTTTACTTTAATACAGTATTATGCTTATTTGGCTGCTAGTTTTTTAGTAGAATCTGAAAATGAACAAAAATAGATTCTTATTAGAAAAATACAAAATTGTATTTTTTTTATTTTACGCCAAGCATATTATATGTATATATATATATATATATATATGCTTTTATAATATGCTAAGTATCTCATTTACTATGTATTTATCAAAATAAATTAAAAAACATCGTTTAATACCGGCGAATACATATTTGATAAGTCCGTAAACCAAAATATATATTTTTTTTTTTTGTTAAAAATTAACAAATTTCAACTAATATTAATACAAATCATTTAATGACCTTCAATTAATATTGTTGCAGCGATAAATTATTTTCGTGGCTGAATTCTAATTTGGCTTTAAACAACTGTCACGGTTTAAAGATTTAATTATTATAGGGTTACGACCTCCCCCTCCCCTATTATTAAATGGCCTATTTATTTGACAAGTGGTATAGGTAAATCAAATTTTCAAAATGTCATTTGCTTGCAAAAATATGGTCGGTGGAATATTGGTCAGAGTAATTAATTTGTGTGAGCATGCAATCAGTGGAAACGACGGATCGTTAATTTGATAAATTATCAAAATGAATATAATACGTCATAAAATCCTTTGATATTTTATATTCTACCGCCATTTGAAAATGCCACTTGACAGATTTAGGGGGATGAAGCGACGGTGGAGATTTCAAGTGGCACAATAATATTTTTTTCGTTTTTTATAATAATTATGTTTTTCATAATGTTAATATAGGAGAGGAATCTAATGGACACTTTGAGTAAACTACAATGCAAACGAAATCACCGTAGTAACTATTATCCAAGCAATTAAAACACCAGCTATCAAAACATGTAAACAGACTTGAGTGATGTTTTAAAATTATATTGCACTCCTATTAAATTCTTTATCGGTCAAATTGTTAGGTTAGGTTATGTTACACCTACTGCATTTTTTTATTTAGAGTACCTGTACCTAAATCTGAATATTACAGATAAATAAGTAAACGAATACAAAATACACAGGTGTGTTCAAAAATGTCTCTTGGCTATAACCATATTTGACACTAAACAAGTATTAAAACTGTATTACAATATCATAATGATAATATGATACTTATCATACTAAAAATAGGTAGGCTAAAACAATATAAATTATAGAAACTATTGATATTATATTCATTCCCTTATCAATAATATATTTTATCTAATTATAAATATTAAACAAATAAAACAACAATTAAAACTATTTTAGTCATGTTAAACTATACATCAATACTGAACGCAATTCATAATAGTTTTTAGAACCTATAAACAAAAATTGCATTTAGCTTTATTTGATAGATACTTTAAATTTAATTAATTCTACAATTTTAGTAGGACTTTTTGTTAGTACAATACAATTAATTGACAATGACAATTATTGTGATATCATTCTGAACGTAGCTAAACATATAAATGTGTTGAAAATATTTCTATATAAAATATAAATACTTCAACACAAATACCTAATTTGATAAACAAAAGAATTCAGGGATAAACAGACATAGTGAATTTGTATTTAATTTCTTAATCCGACAACACCGTGTTAACAATAAATACATATGATGATTCATCAAATATAAGACACTTATATTCTCTTAAAATAATATCAATGTTGCACATTTTCTTTTTGAAAAATTGAACTGATGGATTTGTTTATATTAATTTTGACAATACTAGACAATATTGAATTTTTTTTAGAGCTCTATTAACTTTTTAAACTTAAATAGTAACTTATATTTTGAATTAACTTTTAGATAGGTACATGGGGTGCATTTTTTAAATGTATGGCCCAACAAAGTACCTTTCAGCCTAATCTGTAGTGCTGCTACACGCAAAAATCGGTTCAGCAGTTTTAAAGATATCGTAGATGCATTGTAAAAATATTACTATCAGAAAATAACAAGTTATTAGCCATACTTATACCTATAATTAGATATATTGTACCCATATTGATTTGGTGTACATAAAGAAAATCAATCCATACAAACCCAATTAAATGATCTCAGCCGCAATGTAATTTATGTCAAATTCGTTCATTAAAAAAAAGGAATTTTCAACGAGAAAAAAATGGAATAATTTTTCCAGAATTTATTTTTGTTTCATAATTTTTAGCCATTAAACGAACAGAAAGGCTATTGTTTTCCATAGGATAATTACAGCGTACCATCTGTCAAACGTGTAAGCCGAATCTTAACTGGTTAGTTTAAACAGATTTTTGGAACTATGACTCGATATCTCTATGACGAAAACTGTTTATTTTTATTTTGTTTGAATAAAAGCAAAAAAAAAACAATGATTAAGGCGTTATCAATATGACACAATTCGCTACAAAAGTGTACTATCGATCCATTTCATGTTTTAAGTTCTGATTA